TACGTACGTCATACGCAAGCAGAATTGCGTGCGTACGACGATTATTCGGGGGATATTGGAGGATTATGTCGTTGTTATTGAGGTTAATACCCTCAATAACCTCACAAAACCTTCGAATGACAGGAAAAAAGATGAGCGACGACCGCGAAATATATTGGTAGGTTATTCGGAGGTTATTGAGATGTTATTGACGTTAATACCCCTAATAACCTTTCAATAACCCCGAATAAATGAGTTATTGAAAGATTATTCAGGGTCATATGCACACAGAATTGCGTATGACGTACGCAAATTGCTCTCCACCTCCACACCCTAGCCAAATCTTAATATTCACCATGTTTTCATTTCTTTTTGAGTCTTCATTTAACCTACATTATTCTGCTTAATAATATTACTTTCATTATTCAGATTTGATTAATTCCAATATCAAAATCTTTAAACAAACGAGCTTACGAACTAAGGAGTCTCGGGACTAATTCAAGCTTGACTTATTAGCTAATCAGGCTTGCCATTTCACAAGCCGAGCTCTAGGAGGTTCATAAGTTGGCTTTAGTCACTTCACACCCCTCCGCAAGTCTTTTGGGCTCTCCACGCTGGTCCGTCTGTGCCGTGCGTTTCATCACCTCCATCTTTCCGCGCGACAGCTTCTTCCACCAAATTCTAATTACAGGTTTCTTTGCTATTCTGTATTCGATGGATTTATGCGCATCTTATTTGTGTTTAACGCATTTGATTCGGTTATTTAATAGATTTTGAAACCAAGCTTTAACGATTGAATAGAGTGGCGCACCTGTGGTTTATTATTAGTTGAAGATTTGTTGTTTATGCCCTCTTCATGATTTCGAGCACTGTTTTTTAGCAGGATCTCTCGGTCGCTGTGTTTTATTTTGTGAGATTTTCTGCTAGTAATGGTTTAGGGCTTGTAGCACTTCTTACCATTTCAAAGTTATCACTCTGTTTTCCGGAGATTTTTGTTTTATGGATTTTTTTCTGTTCTTGAATATATTGAATCCATGGCTTGAGTTTATATATTAGGCTGTCGTATCACAGGTCTTAATTGTTCATATTTGTTTACAATCTATGTTAAGCAAATGTTGCTTCGTCTCTCTGCAGATTAAAACATCTGGAGATTGAATGGTGTGGCTAAAGAATCCGTGCTTATTTTCCAATGTGATTACTGGAGTTGGTTCCTTCTGGCAGCGAGGTACATACAGATGCTTAAATAATTTGCGTTGCTCTCAAAAAATGATTGAAGGAGGAGATTATGATCGGATGCATGGATTTGGGTATGCTGCATTTGCTGAGCATCCAGTCTTAGGAATTGATTGTATAGGCCTGCTTCCCGGCTCAAATTCTGGTTTGAGAATGTTGAAGTTGCAGCATGACTCTAACATCCATTGTAATCAGCTCAAGAAACTCTCAACTATAAGCCATAGGCTTGGAAACTCTATACGACAGGAGCATTCCTTGAGCAGAGAGTGGTTGGCAAAGCGCTGGGCTGAAGAAAAGAGAAGGGAAGACATAATGCGAAAAAGGAAAAGGAGATACGCACAAAGTGTGGAGTTCAAGCAGCCTATGCCGGATACTGATATCAAACTTCCTTTCCTGCAATCTTTTTTCACCAGAACAATTCCAGCTGAACAAGTACGGCAAACAAATGAAGCATCCATGCAGCCACCAATTACTCAATATGAGGAGGGATTTTTATGTTCACAAACCCCCGAAGAGGCAAACATGAATTTTTTTATTATTATTATAGCGTTTACTTACACGACCTGCGCATCTATCTTACTTCATGCTTTTCTGAATGTGTGTGTTGATGGATTACTGTCACATTGATTCATGAAGTCTGTTTTTGTCAGTACTAAAAGCTTCATATATTCAATCAGAAGGGATTTTTAACTTGAAAGGTTACTAAGGTTGCGGAGTGGATCAACAAATATTCATTCTGATGTTTTTTTTTTAATTTTTTTATCCTGGAAGTATTAGATAAGCAATAATTTATTTATTTATAGCATAATTGATGGATTACTGTCACATTGATTCATGAAGTCTATTTTTGTCAACTCTTATAATCTCTCGATGAATTTCTCACAATTAGACACTCTAGTAAACTCTC